GTCAACGCACGAGTCAGCGGATAGTTTTCGAGTCACGCCGGGGGGATTCAATCCGCGCTTAATCTCGCCGGCGCCGGTATGAGAATACACCTGACACCCCTGATACACCGAGTGTGTCTCGGGTTTTCAACTCGCAGTGAAACTGCAGACGAAACTAGGTTTCGTTCCGGAGTCTCGGCAAAAATCTAATTCTTTGCGTCTTCCGATTTGAAAAAATTAACTCGCATCGGTGTCACATATGTGCCCAATTAAAAATTTATCCTATGTTGCTGATCAGGTTGATCCTAATCAATTATTCAGTTTTTACAAAGTTGTCGCGGATCTTAGTTATTAATAAGGTCTTGATCATTGATCATTCTCATTAAAAGATTCTGATGTCACGTTGCGTTACCTGACGATACCATTCCATATAGTGACTGATCAGAACTACGGGGTAGATTTCTAGTCGGAACAATTACTCTGAAAAATATTTCGCTGATCTAAGCAGAGTTCTAAATGTCACAGTTAAGATTAATCGCTATTTTTGTTATATCGGAATTTACGGCGACAACATTTTAATAATACCCGCGGACAAATTTGGGTTACCCACTATCAATTATTCATCTGACCTTGGATCATTTGGATCTTGGATTAATCTGATCCCGAATCAGCTACAGCCGCTACAGAGAAACTTTTTTGCTAAATTTTGCAAATAGTTCAGACATCAATTCTGTGCCTGTCGCCTGTATCGATTAAATACAAAACATGCGCGATATCGTATCTGTGTTGTTAGTCATTTATCTATATTAGCTGATGCCTCGTATCGAGTCAGTCGTATGACTGCAAGACAATTTTTTTGAACGTAATAGTAAAATGTTTTTCCTACGGCCACATATATCCATATTAAGTGTGTTATACACGATTACGTGGAAAAAATATGAGGTAGGTCTATGGGGAAGTCCCCCACAAATAAACCTTGGTGGCGAAGGTGTTAATACGGATACTCCCTGTTACTCGACTCACGCTCGCGTGACATTTGAGGATACAGCCGTGTGAGAGACAGCCCATACATTACGATTAGTCGAGACCTTTCGGCGCGAAAGGAAAAAGAAAGGGAAAGGGGGAAGAAATTGCGTTAAACCAGAGATTAGGCGCGCGAGTGATGATTTATGCGCTAATATCGCGCTGCAACGAGCAACGGATGGGGAGAGGCGGAGGAGGAGACGGAGGGTTTAATATGTTTTTCGTGAAAGTCCCGGTGCGTAATTAATTTACATTCGCGCCCGAGAAGAGAAGTGCGAGCGAGCGTACCGAAAGCCGACCGCGACTCCGTCGCCGTCATTAATAATAATCCCGGAATTAACAAAGGAAGGGCGATGCGAATTATTAAATTCACCGAGATAGAAAAGCCCCGCGCTGTGTTGTCGGTCGGTATCTACTACCCTCTCCCTTTCTCCCTCTTTCTCGACCCACCCTGCGCTTCCTCTATTTTTCTTCCCTCTATGTTCCTTCCTCCCGCCCTAATTCACCGGGAGATTCGTTAGTCTTCTGTACAATTTGCTTTACCATTATTATAAAAGCCGCGCTAATTACTCGTCGCGCTCATCCGCGCAAAGGGCGGTATCTTTGACCCCGCGAAACGTGGGAACTGTGCGAAATTGGATGGGACGTGATGTGTGTAAAAGCCACCGCGCGTCGCGGCCACGACAGCGAGAGTCCGCGCTGTGCGCTGCGACGGCGTGCCTTTAAATTATACACCCCGTGCCCCCTCTTTCCCCACGGTGTGTTTTCTTAAAGAGAGAATTACGGGGAAGAATTATAAGATTTCCACGTAATCGTTTTCTCCTCTGCCTGCGCGCGAGAGTACGTATTAAATTATTAAAGTCAAGCCTACCTCTCTCTCTCTCTCTCTCTCTCTCTCTCTCTCTCGCTCCCTCTGCCCTTTTCTGTCTTCTCCTCTTTCTCTCTCTACTACGGGTGCGGATAAAGACGTGACTCGCGCCGGTGTTAAAGGTTAATTCCAAAGCATTCCCAGTTTGCCAAGGAGAAGGAGTGGTTCACTACTCGAGAGCGACGTGGATACTCGTCGGGTGAGGACAAACGACGTGCGTGCGTGTGCGCGCGCGCGCTTGTAGAGAGGAGATTTACGATATTGCGCAATTCGTAGATCCTCAACAGATCGCGTAAGGCTCATCGTCGCCTCAACTTCGCGTCTCGCGGCTCGCGAGTGCGGAAGAGAGTCTGGATTCAACGGCGGTGGGAGCGAAGGAGCCAGGGATGGTGCCGCAATAGAGCGAGGGTGACGGAGAACGAGAGAGACATTTCAATTACCATTTCGGTATTTCAGGATCCGCGGAAAATCGTTTATCAACTCGACGTGCACGTAGACGTGCGCGGCAACGTGCACGAAATAGAAGCGCGGGGGAAGCTGCTACCTTCCCTCCCCCCTACTACCTACCCTTTACGCGTTCGTGGAATCCCGAGACTATCAAGTAACGACAAGTACAAAACCCGGCGGTGCACACCGGATATACACACACGCGTGCACATACACGCACGTACACATACACACACACATACATACGTGGCGGAAGAATTTCGTCGGGAATTTATTACAATTTTTCTATTACAATCTACGTGTCGCCTCTCGTCGAGCGTATTGCATTCTCTTACCCTCCCTCTTACACCCCTCGCTCGCGCAGCGCTTGTTCACCGAGCGTTTCGTGGTTGTCTCGGGTTTCGCGGAGAAGCCGTCTCCAGAAAGAAGCGGTTATCAGTTTGACAGTGACGCGGTTAGAGATGGAGAGCGACCAAGAGGAAGAGAGAGAAAAATACGGAGAGAGAGACGGAGGGTTAGAAGAGGGTGTACGAGAGAGAAACCAGAGAGAGAAGAACGTAGCCGCGGCGCGCGCGAGGAGGGTTGCGAAGGCATTCAATTTCCCTCTTCTCGCGGATGGGGGGGCGGCACACACCCTTCCGTTCGGAGCTGTCACTCCCTGAGAGTTATGGTCGCCGAATGAGTGGCTGGGGCGGGCCAAACGTCGCATAACTTACTTCTTCTTCTTCTTCTTCCTCCTGTTCCTCCTAGCCCATGCCTGTGCTCTTTTCCAGGATGTCTATAAATACGAGAATCGAACCTGCCTGCAACGCCTGCCTGCCTGCCTGCTTGCCTACCCCAACCATTCCGCAGGCGACGGATGCGAGTCTCGTTGGTCGTGCGGGATGCCTGGCCGAGCGCCGGAAGGAGCGAGAGAGGAGCGCGTCGCGAGAGAACGATCGATCTCCGGGAATCCGCGGATCGCGCTGCCGGCAGCACCGATTACGGTTCTTATTTGTCGAGGCGCGCTTCTCACCCCCTCCGACGACGGCGGGACTCGAAGCGCTCGAGAGAGTATTTTTCTCGCGGGTATTTTTGGCCGGGACGCAGCTCGGCGATGATTACCGGAAATTCCGCCACTTGATTGTTTCTCCGTCTCTCGGGGCGATGGTAATAAAGCGGCGTTATTTTTACTCCTTTACACGAATTGTTACTCGCGCTTTCTCCCCTCTCCTCTCTCTCTTTCTCAACTCCATTGGTGTCCTGCGCTTAACGGATCATTAAGAGATCGTTAAGAGATGCACCGTTAAAGGGTGTCTCCCGGTCGAGTGAACGTCTGAATCTCTCGACGAGCGTCGCGATAAATTTTTATTCCCTCGTCCTCTTTCCTCGTCCGGCTCGAGAGACTCCAAGTTTCGCGAGCGCGACACCCAGAAAAAGTACGAGATGTTTACAACCCTCTTATTTTTCGACGTCCTCCCGACGGTGCCAGACTTCCGCGACGATGAAGGGCGGGAGGGACGGAAAAGTTTGTGGATTCAAGATCGTCGGACGAATAAACGAGCTCGATAATCGTTCACGGTCCCGGCGACGCTTCAGGAAACAGCTGTCGTTACGGCCATTCGGGGCTGAATTTTCCAACGGGATTTATCGAGTTTACCGAAGAGTCGCCCAACGCACCTCTGCTCCTCTCTCTCTTTCTCTCTCTCTCTCTCTCTCTCGTTACGATTTCTCGCTAAAGAGCTGTATATCATTCGCTCGTTTCCCGGGAATCCCGCCACGATCTTGCGCCACGCCAACAGATCCGCTTTGACCGCTCTGCACCCAAAGTATAACGGCCGTTCTCGTTCGCAAGCAGCGGCTTTGATCGTCGGCCAGTTAGTCAGTCAGTCAGTCAGCCAGTCAACCAGCCAGCCAGCCCAGCCGGCCTGCCGGAGCTGGCTCGTGTAATTTCGGGTCGTCCGCGCCACTTAGCTCTTCTTCGATTCCAAATGGAAATCTGTTCCCAGTATCATGCCAAGCGCCGTAATTATCGCGAGCTCGCAAAAACGGGGCGTCCCGGAATGCTAGCGCGAGTGAGTCACGCGGGTTTAATCGGGAAAAAGTAACCTTGCAACGCTGGAATGCACAACGAGAGCCCGATAAATCTGAGATTTATTTTTCATCGGAAATTGGGGCACCAATTCGCCACAATTTCAATTCCGTAGAAGGCTCACTTGAGCCTTGGGCGCGCAAAATGATTGTCAGATCATCGATAAAAAACGAAAATTAAATTAAAATGATAAATTTTGTTAATTTTGTCACTTTTACGAGCATATACTCTTTGATTAAATTTTCTCAGAAAGAACAAGAAATTTTACTTTACCCTCTTCTTAGGTTAAAATTGAAAGTAGGTTTCGAAAGGTTCAAACCTCAAATGAAATTTTGCTGAATTTTAATTTTTCTTAACTCTACAACAAGCCTAAGAGATCATAATATTGAAAATTGCGTCCAACCAAAATTCTTACGGAGCATGAGTCGAGAAATTCGAGACAGAATGCCGAGTCATAGAGAAATTTTGGGAAGCGATCTGTAGTATATGCGCGACTTCGCTTTTGGCGTATTGTGCAAAGTAAGCCTTGCGCTGAAGGAAGTTTACGTCGCTTGTTCATTCGTTCTCGCTCTGGGGCGAACGTATAATTGAAGCGATTTCCTTTATTCGCAGCACAATGCATCGCACCCTTGGGGATGGAGTCGGGCGCGATTCCCGATACGGACATCACTGCGAGCTCCAGCTTCGACAGCGGAAACGTCGGGCCGCATCACGGACGGTGAGTGAATTACTGATTCGTTTATGCAGCGCATCGCACATATCCGATGCAATACAAATCCGGAAATTTCATCATATTAGCTCCGCTGCGGAGCGTGAAAAACGCAGCGGCGCGGCGCTCACCGCGAAACACACCGACGGCGCGTAACGCGGCGATATTCAAATCAACTTGTGACCATTCGCCCTAAACTCGTCGAATATACGTGCGCGTGTGCGTTAACCGTTAACACATTGCGGGCCGGAGATGCGAATCGACGTCTTTGGTGTTTCAAGCCTCGAGAGCCGGAAACGTCGATTCTCGTCTGTAGAGGTCTGAAACGCGGCGCAGTCAGACGTTTAAAGACCGCAACACCTTCACTTCGATCAGTCTCGCAACGCGTCCTGCGTCGAAAAGAGTTTTTTCATTGATTTTTAGGAAATGCGTTCTCCCATTGGATACAGAATACGTCGCGAGATTCATCGGGGTAAAAATGTCGCAAAATTTGTATTTAAGTCACCTACTGACAGATACGTGTGAAAGACTTTTTCGAACAATCTAATAAAATGAATAACATCGACTCGTTATTGTTTAATGAGGACTTCTCACTGTTCTTTCCTAAACCTAAATTTTCCACGACAATTTAACAAAAAAGTGACAAAAATCTGCGCTAACTTGATACAACTATATATAAATATATGATTTTATATATACAGGGTGCGGCAAAAGTATCGGACTGGTAAAATATCTCGAAAAATATAAGTTTTACAGAAAATTGCTTTAGATAAAAGCTATAAGTCTTAGGAAAATCTATTTACTGATTTTAACAGTTTGACCTTGGGTGACAATTCGAGGTCAGGTCGAGGTCAACATTGCTTTTTTAAATAGAAACATATACTTTTTACTACGGAATTTTATTCTACGTAAAGAAACAAACAAGTTTTGTTTGAAAATATTTTTTATACGACCTCTATTTTCTAAGATATTTACGGAAATATCTACAAAATTATTGGTTTCAATAATTTTTTATTCAAATTCTATCAACTTTACCAAAAAATAGCAAGAGATAAAAATTTTCTATTTTCATTTCATAGAGCTCCGAAAATTTTTTCAGAATTTTTTAATTAACTTTTTAGTACTGCATTTTCTTGCATTTTCTTGAAGTACTAAAAGGTTAATTAAAAAATTCTGAAAAAATTCTCAGAGCTCTATGAGAAAAAATAAACAATTTTTATCTTTTGCTATTTTTCGGTAAAATTGATAAAATTCGAGTAAAAAATTATTGAAACCAATAATTTTGTAGATATTTCCTAGATAAATATCTTAGAAAATAGTGGTCGTATAAAAAATATTTTCAAACAAAACTTGTTTGTTTGTTTACGTAGAATAAAATTCCGTAGTAAAAAGTATATGTTTCTACTTAAAAAAGCAATGTTGATCTCGACCTGACCTCGAAATGTCACCCAAGGTAAAACTGTTAAAATCAGTAAATAGATTTTCCTAAGACTTATAGCTTTTATCTAAAGCAATTTTCTGTAAAACTTATATTTTTCGAAATATTTTACCAGTCCGATACTTTTGCCGCACC